CCTGAAGCAGGGCCACTACCTGCCCCTGGACCAGGGTGTCTACAACCACATCTGCTCGGGGGCCTTCGCTCTCTGACACTCTTCCGCCAGCCAGAGACCCCCCAGCCAGGCCCTGTGAGTGAGGTGGGCTTGAGCCAACAGCCCTGCCTGAGGGCTGGCCAGCTGCAGCAGGTGGGGCCGTCCTGGGGATGAGAAACGACCCCATGAGCAGCCTATGTCTCTCCACTGCCTTCACGCCCCTCCCTCCTCCTCTGCGTCCTCCTGTTGTCCTGCCTGTCTTCTGGCCCCTATGTCTAGGTGTGTGTCTCTCTCTTCTCCCTGCTTCTTAGCCTCTCTCCTATCCCGAGCTGCTCTCACCACTTCCTCATGCATCTCTCCTGCCCCCACCTAACAAGAGCAAAGCAGACATTTCCTGGGAGCTGCAGCCTGTGCGGGGCAGCTGCTCCTGGGGCCTCTGCAAGTTACCCCTGCTGCATCATGGACCCAGAGAGGGCCCTCCCTGCCTCCCTCTCAGCTGTGCCTTAAGGAGCCCCAGTCAAGAACTCCCCAGGCTGCTGAGCTCCAGGCAGGCCTTCTGCCTGCCCTGCTGAATGGAGGAGCCTACCAGCCCACCCCAGTGCAGGGAGCATGAGCAAGGGACCTCCAGGTCAGCTGGAGGTCTCTTCCAGGCTGGGCCGGTTGCCTTTTGCACTTTCCATCCCTGGTGGGGCTCACCTGCCCTTCCTGATGCCCTAGAAGCTTCAGAATTGACTATGATGTCTCGAATGTCACCCCTGCCCAGATGTCGCCATTCAGACATCTCCACAGGACTCCTGCTGAAGGGGCCCTGAAGGCTGCATCAGGTGGCTGCTCAGCCCACCACTCAGATGCTCGCCGTGGCAAAAGCCTTTTGGGTGTCCCTGTCTGGCGTGGCTGTTGGCAAGAACCATGGGAGTGGCAGCAGTGGAGTCGGGGAAGGTCTGCTTAGGGGTGGCCTCTGAGATGGCCTCGGGGGTTCCAGCCTGTTAAATATCCCCACTGGCCTTGCTAGTGACAGCTTGGACAACTGAGCCGGGGCAGCTCAGACACCCCCACTGGCCTCATCAGTGGTGGCCCCTCCTGGACTCCCACTGTTGGGGCCGGCACCCAGGCTGCCTGCCCAGCCCTCCTTCCAGCAGTCACACTGGCCCCTCAAATAGTGGAGCCAGGAGCGAGCAACCCCACGCTGTTTTGCACAGGCCTTTCCAACCACTGAGGTTTTGTTTCCTAGTTGAGTTTAAAAATAAACCTGCAGAGTGTCCAGTGCCTGATGGGAGCGCAGTGATTGATGATCTGTCCCCGTGTAACATGGAGCCTCTTTTAGTCTCTGAAGGCAGGCTGGAGAACACACGCTCACTGGACATGAGCAAGACAGTCTCAGCAGTTTGTTGCTGCCCTCCATCCCCTGTTGGTCCGCCTGCAAGGTCTCTGGAGCTTGGGGCAAGGCGGTCCGCGGGTTAGCATTCTCACCGCCCCCCTGTATCCTCACAAAGCTCTGTGCCGGCCTCGGTGGTGCCAGGGGAGGGACGGCTCATCTACCTGGGGGATCTTCAGATGCCACAGAATGGTCCAAAATAGAAGTGGTGTCCCGGCATGTCCAGCTGCCCCAAGGAAGGGTGCCCCCTGTGTACGAGCCAGCAGGTGTGCCCACTTCTCTGGGTGAGCACACTGGGCCTGCGAGGGCAGCTGTCTGAACTGGGATTCTAATCCAGGACCTCCAGCTCTGGAGTCTAGTTTCAACTCCCACCTTCTGCTGTGCCCTCCTCCAGCAAGACAGCATCTCATTTTGTCTCTAGGGGACAGAGGAAGAAAGGTTGGTGGTGACACAGCATCTGCTAGGAGGAGGCATTGGGGTGGGGGAGTGATCCTGGGTGATGGATGGGGGGTGGACCAGGCCTTGGCTGGCTCAAGGAGGGATGAGCCATCCATGTGTGGGGCTGTCCCTCGGATGCCCACAGTCTGCAAGGGGGGAATGCAGGGTGGAGCCTTCCAGGATGCCCAGCGATGGGGGGTGGATGCACTACCAGGGAGGTGGGTAATGAAACACCCCTGGTGTGCTGATCAAGCAAGTATATCCTTAGTAACATCCTTCCAATGTCATGACCACCTCCAAAGGTGTCATCATGGTCCCTGCTGTACACACAGGGAAACTAAGGCACAGGAGGGTAATAAAGTCACTGCCAGGGCCTCCTGGCTAGAAAGTGGTCCAGTGGAGACCTTCCTCATTCCAAAGCCTATGATGGTAGCTAAAGCAGCATAGGAAATTCCCTCTGAGCTGGCAAGAAAATAATCCTGATGACCTTTAGGGTCAGGCTTCATGTTTGTTTTTTAATTAATTGGTGGACTTCATTAATTAGAGCAGTTACAGGTTTAAAGGAAAATGAATGCAGAGTGCAGAGAGGTCCCATTTACCCTCTCACCCACCCACCATGTCTCCCATAAGTGTGCTACATTTGTTAAAATTGATGGGCCATAAGTCTGCAGTTTACCTTAGGGTCCACTCTGTGTTGCATAGTCCGTGGGTTTCAACAAATGCACAAAGTCATGGATCTGCTGTTACAGTATAAGAAAGACTTTCTCTGCCCTAAAAATCCCCTCTGCTCCATCTCTGCATCCCTCCTACACCAACCCCTGGCAACCACTGATTTTTTTACTGCCTCCACAGTTCTGCCTTTTCCAGAATGCCTTGCCCTTGGGATCACACAGTGGTCGGCCTTGTCACACTGGTTTCCGTCACTTAGCCATATGCACTAAGGTTCCTCCATGCCTTCTCATGGTTTGAGATCTATTTTTTTATGCCAAACAAGCAGCTCTGTGACTTGCTCCTGGGGATCCTTAGTGAATCAGAAGGAAAGCTGGGATCAGAAGGCTCTCTGACCCAAGCCATTCCTTTATAAGGGACCCTGTAAGGATGTTCACAGAGGGACATTTGTATCTGTGATACAGGAAGACCAGCTTGCCCCAGCCTGGCATCAGCACGTGGGCACTGCGTTTTCTAGTGCTGTTGGAACAAACCACAAACAGCGGCTTAACATAACACCAATTATCTTATAGTCATGAAGGTCAGAAGTCAGAAATGGATCTTGACAGAGCCCGGACAGGAGTACCACCATTTTGAATAAGCCCACCCACCATCTCAGAGAGACTTAGGTTTCATTTTACTTAGGCCACAAGCATTTTCCGGAGGACACATCAGCAATCTACAAACCCATCTTTTTCTCTCCATCCCCTAAAAAGCCTCTTAGCCTGTAAGAGAGGCCTTTGTTCTGCTTTCCAGAACAGAGGTCCCTCTCAGGTCTAGCAGTAAACCTGCTTGGACTGTTGAGTTTGCATCCCTTCTTTTCCTTTTAGATCTTACTTGGCTAAAATCAATTGTTCAGCAGGACTGCATTCCTTATGGAGGTTCTGAGAGGATCCACTTCCTTGCTACTTCCAGCTATTAGATGCCACCCACATTCTTTGGCTCATGGCCCGTTCCTCCATCTTTAAAGCCAGCAACAGTCCATTTTGAAGGACCGTTGTGATTGCTTACAGTGGGCCCATCCAGGTAATCTATTTTAAGGGCAGCTGATTAGCTACTTAATTCTCAGCTTTAATTCCCCCTTTGCCAAGTAACCTAACATATTCACAGGTTCTGGGGAATTAGGATCTGGACCTTCAAAGGACCATTATTTTGCCTTCTACAGGGTCCAGTTGCATGCTTTTGCATGTGAGTGACAGGTTGCCAACACGATTTGCTGAAAATACATCCTCATTGAATGGTCGTGGCACCTGTGTTGGTTTATTTCTGCATTCTCAGTTCTGTTCCCTTGATATTTATGTCTATCTTTATGCCAATACCACAGTCTTGATTCCAGCTTGTGCTTTTGTTGGAAGTTTGAAATTAGGAAGTGAGTCGTCCAGTTTTGTTTCTATTCTATTCTATTCACGATAGTTTTGGCTATTTGGTGCCCCCTGCTATTTATGAATTTTAGGATCAGCTTGTCCATTTCTACTAAAAAAAAGCAGTTCAAATTTTGATGGGATTGTACTGAATCTGTAGGCTAATTTGGCAAGTATTACCATCTTAATATTAAATGTTCCAATCCATAAACATACGATGTCTTTCTGTTTATTGTCATTCCATTATTTTCAGCAAAGTTTATCATTTTCAGTGTACAAGTGTTGCAATTCTTTTGTTAAATTTATTCCTAAATTAATTAATTTCTTAAGGCAACAGCCAGAGGTCAGAGACACACAGAGGTCTCCAAGGAGCATATGCAGAAGAAATTCAACAACTGCTTCCCAGCCCCTACTCTGTGCTTGGCATAGTGTTGCAGGAACCGCAGGAACTACAATCTAGGAGTCCAGACACCGAGACGTTTGGCAAGCAGCAGTTTATTAGTGCCGGCACTGGCTCATAGGATTCATATCCAAAGGCCGAGCCCCGAGCGCAGCAGGGCCATGGTTTCATACCTTCACTACAAGGTTGAAGAAAAACAACTTTTATCTTGTTAACAGGTTACAGAGGCAGGATATCGCAGGCGTCTCTATACTATACCCTAACAATGCCATGACGCTGGGAAGCCCCCTCCCTTCCTGGATTAAAAATACTTCATCCTCCTCTTGGGCTTCCATCCTCAATAGCTGAGGGGACTTTACAGGCTTCATTGAAGAAAACAAACCCTGCCCTCACAGTTTGTAGTTTAATTAAAGATGGAGACAAGGTAAATGTTTTAGGTTCAGGAACTTCAAAGTCCACCAAAATACGCCCTCCTCAAGGAAGTCTCCCACCTACTCCCTCCACCCATCCACAACCTCCCCACACCCCTTCCACCCCCGCCTAGGGTTTCCATCTCTGGGCTCCCCTCTCCGGCCCAAGAAAGAGCTCAGGCGCAATGCGCAAGGAATCAACGAGTAGGGCCGACCGGCTGGGGGCTTCACTCGTGGAACTGCGCATGTGCCAGAGGCGGCCGCCCGAAAGCACCTAGAGCCTCGCGGCGGGGCTTGCCTTCACGCAGGCGCGCTGGCGGCCACAGAAGTGCTTCCGCTTCCCTGCCGTCGGCATGGCCGCGTCGGCCCCGTGCCTCATCTCGGTCTTCTCGAGCCCGCAGGAGCTGGGCGCGTCTTTAGCGCAGCTGGTGGCGCAGCGGGCAGCGTGCTGCTTGGCGGGGGCCCGCGCCCGCTTCGCGCTCGGCCTGTCGGGCGGCAGCCTTGTCTCGATGCTGGCCCGCGACCTGCCTGCCGCCGCCGCCCCCGCCGGGCCCGCCAGCCTCGCGCGCTGGACCGTGGGCTTCTGCGACGAGCGCCTCGTTCCCTTCGAGCACGCCGAGAGCACGTACGGCCTCTATCGGGTGAGAGCTACGGGGGCGGCCGGGGGTCACGCCGAGCCGGCCGCGCCCACCGCCGGAGCCCCGCCGAGAGGGCCCCGCAGAGTCCGCCCCACGCCCGCTGCCTCTGCCTGTGCAGGAGCTGGGAGAAATCCCGCCCCCACTGCCGGTTCGCCGGTTGGGGCCTTGCAGCCCCTCGTTGTGTTTTATCCAGTGGCCAGGCGGAACGGCCTGGGCAAAGGTGTGGTGGTGACAAAGAGTGGCCCATTCCGGGGACCTAGAGAACTTCCCGCACCCCCGCAGCCTCGTAGCTTGTCGGGGGTGAGTTAGGTAATAGTCAGACAGGACGGATCTCGTGTGGAGGCTGGACCTTTGTTTCCTTATCTCCAACCTGAGCAAGTGTTCTTGTTGATCTAGACGTAGCTTGCAGAGCTGATGATCTCCAGGCTGGTTATCTTTGGCCGGGGTCCCCCTCTTCTAGAATCAAGGGAACAGCCCCCGTTTTTCAAGGAGGGAAACTGAAGCCTGGAGGAGCCCGGGGCTGCCCTCTGGTCCCCTGGCTGCCTGGGAAGTGTTGGCTGGCGCTGGCAGGCCCCCAGTCGCAAAGGTCTTGAAAGAATCCTAGTGGAACACCTCTGGAATCCATAATGAGTTACAGCCTCAAGGCAGTCTTGCCTGAAAGTTGCAGGTGGTCACATGTGCAAACCTTGTGTGACGTGAACCGTGAGTTGCTTCTGGTGATGCTGTCGCTGTCTGTTGCAGACCCACCTGCTCTCCAGGCTACCCATCCCTGATAGCCAGGTGATCACCATTAACCCCCAGCTGCCTGTGGAGGAGGCGGCGGAGGACTACGCCAAGAAGCTGAGGCAGGTGAGTCCCTCAGCGAGCCCCAGGTTGGCCTTGTCCAAGCAGTGGTGACTGAGCAGCCCTGCAGGTGGCACTGCATGATCTTCACTGGCCAAAACGCCCCGCAGGGCAGACCCTGCCAATCCTGGGCAGATTCCATGGAGGATTCCCCGCTCTGAGAAGCCTCAGCCCTTCCCTTGGGTCCCTGATGGTAGACTGGCCTCTGATGCTCTTGCAACAGGACTGTGTCCTCACATCTTCGGGATAGTTGTGTCCCCAGACTGGGCCAGCCAGACAGGTGAAATGTGGAACCTCCTAGATTAGAGTCCCTTTTATGCACGTGAGGCTGTGCATCACCCCTGTGTTATAGGCACTGAGATTCTTTTTCTGACAACTGTCTCTTTGTGCCCTTCGAGCCCCTCCCTCCCAACCTCCTGGGATTGTTCTTCTTCCCCCACCCAGGCCTTCCAGGGGGACTCCATCCCGGTTTTTGACCTGCTGATCCTCGGGGTGGGCCCTGATGGCCATACCTGCTCACTCTTCCCAAACCACCCCCTCCTGCAGGTGAGCACACCCACATGGGCCTCTGCCATCTGTGGCTTTTGGAGAGAGGGCCACCTTTGGGGGACCAGGAGTTGCCTACTGAGGGGTTTGAGTTAGCCTTTGCCAACTGGCTGGGCTTAACCTTTCTGGGCCTCAGCTTACTCATCTTAAAATGGAGGCCTAAGTCAAGTACCATGGGATTAGGAGAATGGGATGGAACCATAGGTGGACCATGCCTGGGTGTGTGCATTCTTGAGAAGTCAAAGTGACGTTGCCTTTTCTCCATCCTGGGCCTCTTTCTCCCAGGAGCGGGAGAAAATTGTGGCCCCCATCAGTGACTCCCCGAAGCCACCACCGCACCGAGTGACCCTCACACTTCCTGTGCTGAATGCGGCCCGAACTGTCATCTTTGTGGCCACTGGAGAAAGCAAGGCAGCTGTTCTGAAGGTAAAGGCTGAAAGCTCCATTCCTAGGAAGGCCATGCGCATGTGGGCCCAGGGATGGAATATGGCCACAGATACGACTGTCCTGGATGCACCAGGTCCCAAAATACTTCATTAATCTTTGGCTTGAAGGAGATGGAAACTGCAGCTACAGGCTAGTTAGGAATGAACAATTATGAAATGAAATTAATGAGACGAGACCAAAGCTGCACTCGGAGGTAAGGTCATAATGCTATTAAATACATTACAAAAGAATTATTACCTAGAAAACAGTGGAAGTAAATTGAGCACTTCATTGTAGAATTAGGAAAAGATAACAAATAATATAAATCTATGAAAAGCTGGTGGAAGGAATAAGTGACATTAAGATTAGAAAATAATGAGTTGGTTAATATTTGTAAAAGCTTACTGGTAAATAGATCCCAAAAGATAGACTCCTGCCAAAGCAAAACTAGTCAAGAGGGAAAAAAAGCCTATGTAGTGGGAATAAGTGAAAAAGTAGGAATAAGAAAAAATGTACAGTAACACATAATATTTTAGGAAAATACATGATATTAAAAGCTAAGTAATTTTAAAGTATTTTAACTGACATGGAAGAAACCAACAACTATGGAATAAACTGGAAATATATATTTTTTTATTATTAAATAATCATTCTTCCTCCCAAGCTGTTGGGCCCACATGTCCTCATGGGGGTGGGTTGGTGTCAGGAATCAGGGTGCAGAGTATAAACAGCCCAGCAGACCCATGTTCCTGCCAGTGATGCCTGGCATGGACTCGGGCAGCCACTTAATTCTCAGGCCTCAACTTGGCTGCAAGGTAGGTCGGGAGGACCCCTCCCCGTGGGCCCCCCCGAGCGTCAGTCAAGGCCACTCACTCCACTGCGGAGTCCTCTCACGTGAAGCCACCCCAAGCTTAAGTTTCCCAGACTGTAATGTGGGCAGCTGTGGGCAGAAGTAAATGCAGAGTGCTTGGGGCAGGTATTGATAGTTCCCACTGATCACAAGGTCTCACATCAGGAGGTCAGCACACCACACCCCGGGGGACCAAATCCTACCAGCGAAAAAGGGTTTTTAACTTTTTAAATGGTTGGGGAAAAAAAATCAAAAGAGTGATACTCCTTGACATGCACAAATTGTTTGGAACTCAGATGTCAGTGTCCACAAATAAAGTCTTATTGGAACACAGCCATGCCCATTTGTTGTTGTGACATCTGCTGCTGCTTTTGCTCCATGACAGCAGGGCTGAGTAGTTGTGACAGAGACAGAATGTGATCTGCAGAGCAGAAATAGTGACTGTCTGGTTCTTGCAGAAAAGGTGTGCCAGCCCCAGTATTAGACACAGATGGTTGGGGGGAAGGAGGCCATCCCTGCTGATTGAAGCTAGGACAGTGGAAAGACAACATCCTGTCTTGAGAGTCGGGGTTTTATCAGAGGGACCCTGGGAGCTCTGAGGGGTGCTGGGGTTGCGGGCCAGGCCTCATACCCCTGCCCTCTCTGTGCAGCGCATTCTGGAGGACAAGGAGGAAAACCCGCTCCCCGCCACCCTGGTCCAGCCCCACACTGGGAAACTGTGCTGGTTCCTGGACGAGGCGGCAGCCCGACTCCTGACTGTGCCCTTCGAGAAGCACTCCACTTTGTAGCCCACCCTGAGGGACGCTGCCGCTGAGACCATGCAGCCGGGACAGCCTGAGCAGGCAGGACCTTCTGGGGCTAGCCCCACTGCCACCGCCCTCCAGGCTTCGTTTTAGAAAAGCCACATGGTGCCCCTGTAAGCCGACAGGTTCCGGCCACCAGCCCTGCCCAGGGGGCTCAGCCTGCAGGCCGTAGCTCTGGGCAGCCCAGATATTAAAAGCAACCTTTGCTCAAAGTCTTCACTGTCTTGTGGTCCTTGGTGAGCAGCAGGACAAGGGGTGCTGGGGTGAGCACCCTGGATGAGTTTCCTGGGGCTGCCCTGCAGCAGAATACCACACAATGCACGGTCTCACTGTTCGGGAGGCCAGGTGTCCAAAGTCACAGTGTGGGCAGGGTGGTGGCTCCTGGCGGCTGAGGGAGAACCAGTCCCTGCCTCTCCCCAGGCTTCTGGAGGCTGCTGGCAGTCCTTGGCCTCTCTTGGCCTGTGGCCACATCACTGCAGTCTCTGCCTGCCTCTGTTGTCATCACACGTCCTGTGCCCTGTGTGTGTCTCCCTGTGTCCTCTCTTCTAATAAGGACGTCTGTCACTGGATATAGGACCATTCCAAATCCAGGATGAACTGCTCTCAAGATGCTGGATGAATTACATCTACAAAGATCCTTATTCCAAAGAAAGTCACATTCTGAGATTGCAGGAGTTAGGGCGAGGCCATCTCCTGTGTGTGTGTGTGTCAAAATACATATAACAACATTTACCATCTTAACCATTTTCGAGCATACAGTTCACTGGTATTAAATATATCCATATTGCTGTACAATCATCCCCACCATCCACCTTGTAACTCTGAAACCCCATACCTGTTAAAACAGCAATATCCGGGCAACCCAGATATCCACACCCGTCTCCCCCAGCCCCTGGTGCCCCCATCTACTTTCTGTCTCTATGAATTTGATGACTCTGGGACCTCATATAAGTGGAAGCATTTCACTCAGCAAAATGTCCTCAAGGTTCATCCACATTGTAGCAGGGGTCAGAATGTCCTTCCTTTTTAAGGCTGAGTAATCCCCCATTGCATGGACGCACCGCATTTTGTTTATCCATTCCCTTGCTGATGGACACCTTGGGTTGCTCCCACCTTTCGGTTGTAAATCACGCTGCCGTGAACATGGGTGTGTAAATATCTCAGTTCTTTTGGGGCTCTACCCAGAAGTGGGATTGCTGGGTCACATGGTATCCCTATTTTTAGTGTTTTGAGGAACTGTGGTACTGTTTTCCATAGTAGCTCCACCAGTTCACATTCCCATCAGCAGTGCACAGGGGTCCCAGTTTCTCACTGGCACTTGTTCTCTATCTTTTTGATAATAGCCTGCGGACATAGGCCTTTCTGCGGTCACAATTCAACTCCCTATTCAATCTCTTGTCTGAGCCCTCACTGCACATACATGGGCCAAGGCGGCCTCTGTGTCCAGCCACACTGCAGGTCTGCTCGGAGCCTTGAACGTGCCAAGGTGCCTCCTTAGTCCCTGATGTGCTGGGCTGCAGCGTTTTCCCAGGGTGTCCCTGCTCATGGCCCATGCAACCTGTCAGCTTCGCCTGGATCCAGGGGCCACAGTGGTGGAGGCTGGGGGTACCTGGGGGCTTTGCCAAGTGTAGGGGTGGGTGTGTCCTGCAGAGGCACCCAAGTGGAATGTGGGAATTGAAACCTCAAAGCTAAAACCGCAGAAAGCATAGTTGTCTTCAACGTCTTCTGCAGGTGGGTCGCTCAGATGTGAGAGTGAGGAAGTGGGTGGGGGCCTAAACGGAAACAGATTGAGAAAAGCAGGGGAGAGAGTTGGCAGGAGGGCAGCCCGCCTCGGGCTTGGGCAATAGCTGATGGCCGTGACCTCCAGAGCAGTGGGCAGAGGCCAAGGCAGGGACACTAAGAAGTGATGAGACAGGCATGGGGGGCCCTGCCTGGGGCTTGTCACCTTTCCCCTCTCCCCACAGCAGCATCTTTGACCCTGCTCCAGACTTGACTGCGTCTCCCCTTCACAGAGTGCAACCCACCTTTCTCACTCTGCCCGCAGCCTCTGTGGGGCCCGTGCAGCTCCTTACCCTCCTCCCCTGACATCTGCCCCTCATTCCCCCTCCTCCAGCCCATCCATGTTGTGCTGTTCCTGCACCCTGCCAGCACATCCCCACCCCAGGGCCTTTGCATGTGCTGTGTCCATTGCCCAGTATGCCCTTTACTGCAGCTTTTTGCAAGGCTTGGGCCCTCACTTCTTTCAGGTCTTGCTGCAATATCACCTTCCTGACCCCTCCAGGCCCTTAGCACTTTCCACCCCTTCCTGTTCCATTTTTTGCCCTTACCATTATCTGACAGTCTTGTTGACATGCTGACCAATGATCCTTGCGGACTGGACCATGGTCTGTTTTGCCCACTTCAGCATCCCCAGTGCTCAGCTCAGGTGGCACTCAAGCTGTCATGGAGTGGTTTGTTGAAAGAAGTGAATCTCAGGCTAAGTGAAGATTACAGTCAGATGTTCCTAGTTTAAATAAAATGGAGGTTTAGTGCTTTTTCTGGAGGGAGGCCACCCAGAGTTGGTGGAACAATATCATAAACTCTTTGGGGACCCCAGTTCCTACATGTGCCATTGTCCTCATGGGGGTTTCACCTCATGGTCCAAGGTGACTGCTTAGGCTCCAGCCATCACGTCCATATTCCAGCCACTGGAACTCAACACTCCCCTAATCGGAAAGCCTGTGGGACCCCCATTTGATCGCATTTCAGCTTGGAGGGCAGACCCCTCCCCAACCCCTTCTTTCCTTCACCAAACACTGGGGACTGCTATATGCCAGGCACTGGGAAAACAGGTGAAGGAGTATTTTACAACCTAACCCAACCCAGTCCAGTCCAGTTCTATACACACTGATAGAGGACAAGTCAGCAAAGTAGAAACAAGGGACAAACCCCGTCAGTCCAGGGCACACCCATGGGGTCCACTGCCCCAACACTGACCCCAGGGACTGGAGATGTCTGTCCAGCTCTGGCTCCCCAGCCTGGGGTCTCCTAGAGGCTGGACCAAGACTAGATCTTCTTAGGACCCAGCATGGGGTAGGCTCGGTGGGATAGGGCACCAAGATTGAGATGCCCTGTCCCTGCTCAGCCCCCGTTCTCTGCCCCCACATACCAGCTGGTCTGACAGATGTCTGCCCTGCATGCCTCTTCCAAACCCGCTAGGACTCTTGTTTCTCACAGCCCACCCCACCTCTGGGGCTGCCCCAGCATCCCCTACAGGAACCAGCAGCTCTGGGGGCATTGGCCCCAGGGGAACCAGGAGGGCACAGGTGCAGGGCGGGGCAGGGGGCAGGGCTGGCTCCCTACACAGACACACTAGGGCCATGCTCTGGCTTCTGTCCCCAGGCAAATGGTCTCTGCAGCACCCTGGCCTCTCACAGGCATCCCTTCTCCCACAGTGCCCCCAGCCAAGGAACCTGGGGCTGGTGGGAAGAAGCAGGGGTGCCTTCTTTGCTCTCAGAGCCCCGGGAGACTGCAGCACAATGGGTGGGAGGCCCTCGAGCCCCCTGGACAAGAGTCAGCAGCAGTACCTGAAGGGTGAGCTGGCTTGGTGAGGGTTGGGAGTGGGGCGGGTGGCTCAGGACTAGAGCTGTTAGATATGCCGGATGCCCTCCTAATGGAGATTGCAGATAAGCCGTGAATAATAATTTTTTTTAGTACAGGTATGTCCCTAATTTTGCATGGGAGCATACTTACGCTAAAAAATGATTCCTTATTTATCTGAAATTTAAATGTAACTGGTGTCCTGTATTTTTATTCAGTAAACCTGATAACCCTGTTCAGGCATGGGTTCAGGGTGGGGTGCATGGGGCCAGGTGGGAGGAGCCCTGAACCCAGCCAGATCTTGCAGGATGACCTTGCCAGGTGGGCAGGAACCAGCAGGGCCCTCTGCATGGATCTCAGGGACAGCCTCCATTTCTGATTTGAGCTAAGAAAGGCTGGTGCCCTGAAAAAGTTGAGCACCTACTGTGTTCTGGGCACTGGGGACACAGTGGGGTTGGAGTGGTCCCACCCTCGTGGGCATATGATCTAAACCAGGAAAGACGGTCAAGTTATCATTACATTTGGCAGTTGGTTGGAAAGCCTTATAGGAGTGGTGGGGTCCAACCCACGGATTCCTTAGGTTGGGGGGAAGACAAGAGTGAGTGACTGCCCACCTAGGAGATGAAGGTCAAGCCAGGGCTAGGCGGGTGTGATGGAGTTGGTGGGTAGGCGATGTGGGAAGAGTGCTCTGGATAGGGGAAACAGCATGCGCAAAGGCATATGGTGTGTTTTGCAAACACCTAGACTGTCCAGGTTCACACTCCGGCTCTGCCCTCACTCATTGTGTGGCCTGGGTGATCACTTCCCTGAGTCTCATTCTCTTATCAGTAAAACAGGGTAGCAACAATGTCTACCTCGTGAGACCATTGTAAGGATTCAAACAGTTACTCTATGCAATGTTGGGATTTTTTTTTTCTGTAGTGGCTTCCACAAGATCAAGGTTTATTTCTCTTTCCTATAGAGGTTTACAGTGGCAGGCAGGCTGATAAATGACCCCCAAACTTCTCCATCTCATGGTTCTATCATTCGTGGCTTCTGTGCATGAAGCCATCTCATGGTGCATAGCGATTGCTGAAGCTCCAGCCACTGGGTCCATATTCCAGGCAGCACAATGGACTTAATACAGGATGTTCTACAAACAGCCAAGTGCACACATCTTCAGAGAACAGCTTGAAGGACTTTAGCACTTGCAGGATTCTCTCCTAGATCAGGATAGAATGCTTCCATTGCCCCATAACGTTCCTTTGGGCTGGGGTGGGGTTCTTAAAAGATTTTGAAAACCTTCCCAGATGGCAGGCAAAAGGAAACTTGGGTAGGCTGGATCTGCTCATTATCTTGATCATGATGATTTCATGGATAAGCTCATTTGTCCAAGCTCATCAGATTGTACACTTTATACAATAAAGTTTATCATACATCAATTATAAATTAAGCCTTTACTCCCCTACCACCATCCCCATGTGGATAGAAAAAGGCCATGGAGGGTTAAAGGTGAATGGAATTCACAGCAGGCCTTGTCAGGTAGCCTCGGTGAGGTCAGGTGCTCACAGGTGGCTTCCTGCCTGTCCTTCCTGCGCCAGGTGGGTCCGGTCCAGCCCCTTCACAGTCCCCTTGTCCTTGCAGGCCAGGTGGACACTCTGCTGAGGAGCTTCCTGCCCTGCTACCGTGGGCAGCTGGCAGCCTCTGTCCTGAGGAAGATCTCCCAAGAGCTGGGCCCCCAGGAGCCAGCCAGGTACCAGCTGCTGCCCAGCAAAGTAGGTGCCACAAATGGGAGAAGGGGCTGCCGAGTGAAGGAGCCTGGGGAGGGCATTTGTTCGGCAGGGGGGGCCCTCTTCATGCCTTGTCCTCTCTGGTGCCAAGACCTAGAGTGACTGTTAAAAATTAATTATTTGAACAAGCATTCAGTGGGCATCTACTGCACCTCACGTCCTGGGCTGCATGCTGGGGACACAGCAGTGACCAGGACAGATCCCGTTCTGCTCTCCAGGGCTGATGGGAGGGGTGGGAATGACCCCAAACAAGTTAACATACTATGATGCAGGTGCCAGGAAGACAAGGTGTAAGGTAGTATTAGGGTGCAGGGAGGGCCCCTCTGAGCTGAGATGTAAAAGATAAGGAGCCAGACCTGGCCCCCAGAACGGGAGGAGCATTCTAGGCTGAAGGCAGCCAAAGCAGAAGCCCTGAAGTTGGAAAGTCCTTGCCTATTGGATCCCATGCCTTGTGCTTGTGGTGCCCTCTGCCTGGTACCCTCTACCCATTCCTTCTCATGTGTTGGCTGCCACCTCTTCCAAGAAGCTTTCTTTGATCACTACAAGGCAGCCAGGTTGAGTGCCTCCTCTGGAAACCCTATCCCACTGCTTCTCCAGGGAAGCCTTGGGTCACATGCCTGCTACCTGCTTTTGTCTGCCTGCAAGGATGGCAGCTAGGCCCTGTACACCCCTGGGATCTCTTGTGCCCACGTGGTGCCTGCACACAGTAGGAGTGCAGAAAGAGTTTGTCGATGGAGCAAAAGAGCCCGGAGCTACCCGTCTCCAGCTCCAGACCCTCCTGAGCTGGCAAATGGCACCCAGAGCCTGCGGCTGCATGTGTCCGGCACAACCAACTCAGTCCTCACCAGCCTGGGAAATGGGTCTTAGGCCAGTAAGGAGACTCAGGCACAGAGAGGCGAGGTGACCTGCTTGGGGTCACACCGCCAGCAAGAGGCAAAGACACGATTTGAGCCTGGAGTCCATGCTGGTCCCTGACACTGGGTCCCCTGTGCCAATCAAGGCCCTGAGTTTACCCACCTCTCTCAAATGCCTCTTCTCCCAGCTCTACCTTGTGGTGTCTTGGGGCCTCAGGTATCCCCCTAACCTGCACCTTTTGCCACCTGCTGGTTCCAGCTGCCTGGGTTAGGGCACAGCTGACATTGGAGTTCAAGTAGCGTGGAGGCATTTCCCCTTGCTTCAGTTTGAACTTTTTATAAAACCCTTTGTTTCTGTATTTTTATTTTATGTAATAATTTCTATAATAACATTTTAACAATATTATGAAAAACCTCAGACCCAGGAAAAGGTGTGGAGAACCAAAAAAAAAAAGGTATTGAACAAATACCTGAGTTCCCACTGCCTCACCAACAAATGCAAACATCACAAATCTGGTTAATTTCCTTATAGAATATTTATCAAACACCATCTGTGTGCTGGACCCCACCCCGGATCCAGTGATGAAAGCAAATGCGCACGATTCAGGGGGCCAGGGGGCTACAAAGTAAATGAGACAAGGTGGCGTGCCCCCTCCCAAGCGGAGGGTTCTGTGGAGGGGGCCTGGCTGTTTCTCATAAAATCCAACTACACCAGCTCCACACGCAGCAGTCCCGCTTGCTGTAGCTAGCTAACGCTGCATAACAATATACCACCCTGTTAGTGGCTGGAAACAACACATGTATTATCCCACAGCGGCCGTGGGTCAGGAATCTAGATGCGGCTCTGCCAGGCCCTTCCTTTCAGGGTCTCTCCCAGGCTGCAGTCAGGCTGTTGGCCAGGGCTGGGGACTCATCAGAGGCTCAAGTGGGGAAGAGTCCATTTCCTCGTGAAGTGGGGGTGACAAGAGCGTCTACCTCCCAGGGCTGTGAGAGAATTAAACTTTGCATTTGGAAGTGCCCCCCACACGCGCATTCTGTACATGTGCTTGGTAAAGAAGAGCAATGGCGCACCCTGTGCTTGGAGGCCCCTGGGATGCAGTGGGAACTGTCCAGACGGTCCAGACCTGAAGACACTGTCCTGTGCCCTTGACATCCTCTCACCCCTCCTCCCACAGAAGCTGCCCCGAGTCTGCGAGCACCGAGGGCCCCTGACCCAGCTGCAGGGCCAGCCTCCCCGGTGGCAGCCAGTCTTCTGTGTCCTGCGTGGGGATGGCCGCCTGGAGTGGTTCAGCCACAAGGAGGTGAGTGAGTGGCTCTCATCCCTACTGGTCCTACCTCTCCATCCCAGCCTCCCCAGCATGGATCTGGGTCCAGCTCCCAGAATGGCCCCCTGTCTTTATTCGGTCATCTAGTATGAGCCGGGGCGTCTCTATGTGCCTGGTCTGAGGTGGGTGGCTATCTCTGAAGAGCCAGGTGGTTAAACTGAGGCCCAGGCCAGAAACAAGGGCTCATGGGTGTCGGCAGAGCTGAGGTTAAACCACGCAAGGCCTTTGCCCATTGCACCCATGTCCCACTTTCCAACTGGGGAATTTGGGCAGGTCACTTGTCTTCCTAGGACTTAGTTTCCACCTCTGTGAAATGTAATGTTGATGGGCCACAGCACACGGGGCTGTGAAGTGGATGGATAATCCTCATACAGCACTCAGGATTGGCCTAGCACACAGTGGGTGCTGGGTGTCGCCTATCGGGGAGAGAGGGAAGAAGAGAGAGGTGGAAGGAGGCAGGGAGTGGGTTTGGAGGGCTTCCCCCAGCTAACCTGAAACCATCCCATAATCCCACAGTTGGGACATGGAAGCCACAGTGTAGACCTGTCCCAAGCTGGTTCTTTTGGATGCCTTTCATAGGAGTATGAAAGTGGCGGCCATCCCCTGGGCACTACAGCCCTAACAGGCTACACAGTCCTGACTTCTCAGCATGAATATCTCCACCTGTTGGATACGCTCTGCCCAGACTACTCAGGTGAGGCTCCTGAGGACCCTGAGAGCAGGTTAACCTCCCACTGAGAGTCACGGCTGAATTCTTTGCAGTGGGGCAGCTTGTGCATTGCAGGGTATCAGACAGCCACATGATGCCAGGAGCTTCCTCCCACCAGAGGTGTGACAACAAAAATATCTCCAGACTTTGTGAAGTGTTCCCTTGGGATCCTTTAAGTGAGCACCCCAGCTCTAGAAAGACAGATATCCACTCTCATGAGAGGGAGAAGGAGTTGGGTCACTGGAGTGGAATCAAAGTAACAAAGGGTAAAAACAGTAAAACCTGGTGTCAGCAAGCATGTAGGGAGATGGACACTGGTGGGTGGGAAAATAGCACGGATTTGCTGGAAGGTGTAGTGTTCAGCCCTGTGTTTCCAGGAGGCTTTTCTCTCTCTCCCACCCCTTCTGCTTCTTCCTCCTCTTTCATTACCACAGAGTTGCACAGGAATAGGGGAAGGACAGGATTATTGGGATGGCATATGTCTGATGAGGGCTCAGCATGGGGCCTGCATTATGTCACTGAATCTTCCCAGAGAGTGGCCATATCATTAACCATCCCATTTCATAGATGAGGACACAGGACTGTCACCTAGTCAGTAAGGGACAGCCAGATTGCATCCTCAGCTTCACTGTGGCACTGTCCTGCTGCCAAAGGAAGCAACGATGTTGCAAGAAGGACAGTCTGCAGAAATGCTGATGCTGTGAAGACATCAGATCCATCCAAATACCCACCACCCTTTGGGGGGTTGATTAAATAATGGCCCAGTCCCCCATGTATACAGGAGCAAAAAGGCCAGTTTTAGACCAGAAAATTCCATTTTGTTACAAAAATGCACCCCATGCAACTTTGGGCAGATTTAAAAATCTGGAGTAATGTCCACAGACTCCAAGAAGGGAGAAGCAGTTACCAAAGGGAAGGGGCTGGGGAAGGTGGGCGGGGAGGGAAGGAGAAGGGAACCAAGGGGCATTAAAATGAACACCCACAATATAGGCAGGTCACGGGAAGGCAGTACAGCAAGGAGAAGACAAGTAATGACTCCATAGCATCTTACTACGCTGATGGACAGTGATTGCAATGGGGTGGTGGTGGGGACTTGATAATATGGCTGAATGTTGAAACCACAATGTTGATTATATATCAATGACACCTTAATTTAAAAAAAATAATAATTTTCTTCTCTGTTAAAAAAAAAATCTGGAGTAATGTCCTCCAAAGCATTAATTGCTATTATTATATCTGAGGGCAGTGGTAAGGGTTGGGATGATCAGGAACTTCTGTATGTATGACCCCAGAAATCAGAACAAAACATGAAGAGTGTAGGAGACTGCAAGTAAATTGACCAAAAATAAATTCACTCGTCTTGTCCTTCCAACAGTTCTACGTTGTTGCTCTCACTTTTAAGGTCATTTTACAGGCAGGAAAACTAAGGTTCAGAGATAAAAACTATGCCCTATGCACAGAGCTAGAAAATGTTTTGGCTAGGGCCTGGTGGACTCCAGTGACCCACAGCAAGCGGCTCAGATCACATGCTTACTCCCTGTGTTGAGGATGCTGAGGCTGGGAAGCAGTGCTAGGATGGATTGCTGATGTCTGCCCTGGGCACACCTGCCCCCGGAACTGAGGTGGAATAAGGATAATGCAATTAGGAGAGCACAGCTCATGCTTATTGTACAACTGCCCATGCCATAGGCTCCCCTAAGCATTCCATGGGTATTTTGTCTTGGTGAATGAATGATAGATTATAGGGTAAATGAATGAATGAAGACATACCACCTCTGTCTGCTTTCAGGAGACCAGACACAGGAAGAACCTGAATCCCTCCTGGAAACGCCCATGAACTTCCCTCTGTTCCTGCAGCATCCCTTTCGCAGGCATCTCTGTTTCTCTGCAGCCACAAGGAAAGCACAGCGTGCTTGGAGGCTAGCGCTGCAGGGCGGCATCCGGCTTCGTGGTACAGGTGGGTCCCAGGAAAGGTGAAAGGTCAGGCCGCGGTGGGGCTTGGGGTCTGAGGTCAAATGGCTCTGCCTCTGCCGACTGTGGGACCCTCCCCAAGTTTCAGTTTCCTTATCTATAAAATAGATTGTGGGCCGACGCAGAGGAGAAACACAGTTATGAATGGCCAGGGCTGTGATGGGAACACAGTCCTGTGGGAGCGTAGCTTGGGGGATGGGAGGGGAAAGGAGTGTCGAAGGTGGGGTCTGAAAAAGATGATGAGTCAGGTGAAGAAGGGGAAGAGGACGACACATACAGTTGAGCAGATTATTGACTGCAGAAATGTACATAATTGGAGGGGCAGCTGGAGACTGCAGGATGGCCTGGGCTGTGACTGTCCAGGGATGCTTTTACCTAAATCCTATACAGGCGCCTTATGGGCTGGTGATGGTTCTTGGGGAGCGTGTTCCCTGTAGGCACTGCTTGTGCAAAGGTGTGGGAGTGGGTGAGATTTGGGTATTCTAGGACCTGGCTAGGAGGAGGGCTTTTTCTTTAGGCATGGGAAGCAGGGGAGGGACGGGCGGGCACAGAGGAGTGGGCCTCTCAGTTCTGCAGCGAAGTCAGGCCCCTGCTGCCCGTGCTTTCCTGGACGCCGTCAGGCTCCACCGGCAGCACCAAGGCCACTGCGGCGAAGACGACGTGACCCTGGGCTCCGACGCCGAGGTCAGTGCCGCGCGAGGCCGCACCCAGGACCCCCAGGATTCCTTTCCACCCGGGGCCAAGCCCACTGTCTGCTGTCCCGCAGGTGCTGACCGCGGTGCTGATGCGGGAGCTGCTGCCCTCGCTGCGAGCCCAGACCCTGCCCGGCGTGCGGGGTGCCGGCCGCACCCGGGCCTGGGCCTGCACCGAGGTAGCGGGGAGACGCGGAGGGGCCGCGGGGGGCCGCGGTGGACGGGTATGAAGGCTGGGCCTGAATGGTCTCCCCGTCTCTCTACGTCTCTGTCTCTCTGTCCCGCCCCCCCAACCCCTATCCCATCTCGGCTCTGCCCCGGCCTCCTGGCTCTCGTGGGGTCCACTCGGCCTGTCCGGGCAGCTCCTGGACGCAGTCCACGCTGCCGTCTTGGCCGGGGCTTCTGCGGGTCTCCGGGCCTTCCAACCGGAAAAGGACGCTCTGCTTGCGGCCCTGGAGAGGACAGTCCGCACGGACGTGGACCAGATGCTGCGACTGCGGACGCGCGTGGCCGGGAGGCTGCGGGGTGAGGCTCAGGGGCGGCGCCGGCAGGGATCCGGCCCGGGCAGGGAGGGGCAGAACCCGGGAGAGAATGGGCGGGGCCCGAGTGGGAGATGGGCGGGGTTTCCAGGCTGAGGCTCGAGGCCGTGAGAAGGATTCCGTCCAGAGAGGGTGGGCCGGGAAGGGGCGGGCAGGGGGTGCATCCAGTGAGAACGCAGTGAGAGGGTGGGGGGCACTGGCAGCGTCAGCCAGCGGAGGTGGCCCCCACTGTGCTGAATAACAAAGAGAACCGGCCTGGAATGCAGACCCCGCCTCAGGTGTGCGTCTTTGAGTCCATCCTTGCTGCGTGCAAAGCCTCAGTTTTCTTATCTGTAAAATGGGTGGAAAAGTGTGCTCAATCTGCCGTCCGATCCATGGCACACTGCTGAGCCCAAGGCCAACTCCCTCCTCCACCACACATTTGCGGGACACCTTGCAGAGGAGACCCAGGCCAGTGTCTTTCATTACCAGCCAAGGTTCTGGCCCCCCTGGAATCCTGCCTGCACAGGAAGGTAGACACACAGCTACCCCAGATCACGAAGACACTGGTGAGCAATGTGGAAGCCTCAATCACAGCGGTGCAGACCCTTCTCACCCAGGGCATGGACCGCCTGTCTTACCACCTGCGTGGGAGCCCCTCCGGCACCCGGCTGCGCAAGGAGGTGACTCCAGCGTGGGGGGTTTCATCAGCCTGTGCGCAGTGTAACTTTACAGAGGAATTGTGAGAACTTTGCATCTTTCTTGTTTGAGTGCCTTTTCTTTTGAAAGAACTTTGTTCTAGGCTGGTTTTTTTTTTTTTATTGTGGATTACCATGCTATATGGTTATTGAGGTACAGTTTAAAATGGTGGGGGAAAAGGAGTAAGATGACAAAAGTAGCATTTCAGCAATACCAATCTTAAGTCACCTTCCCCCCAACCTCGTCTTCCTCCCATTCCTGTTTGGCCAAAGCCCACCCTGTTCCCTGAGTCAGAGAATTTGACTCCACTGCACATCAGCTCATTTCTTCTGATACTAAGTGAGTATCTACTACCATGCCAGGAAACCTTCAACTACTTCAGCCTGTATTTCATAATCACCTCTTCCAGGAACTTTCCCTGATCCCTTTCTGCATCTGCAGGTGCCTTAGTTCGTCCCTTACAGCAGTGTTTACATACCACTGTGGTTGTTTGTCTACAGTCTATTTATCCTAACTTTTCTGTGAGCTCCTTGAGGGCAAACACTGGCTTAGATTACTCCATTTCTGTAGCCCTAGGGCCCAGAACAGAGAAGCATGAAGTGGTGGGCATAAATGTCACAAGAGCTGAGTGTGTTCACTTTCCCTTAGCCATGCCAGCATTGCATGTTATCATTTTGGGGGTTTTTACCATTTTATGCCCATTACACCACACCCCTCTGTTACCTTTATTATGCATGTTTTTGGTGACAACTAAAGTGGGATGTGTTTTCATTTGCATTCTCCTTTGATGAATTGGCTGTGAGGTTCTTGGCTCTGCTTTTCTATTGACTGACTTTTTTTTCTCACTTGGCTGCCATTGGAGCACAGGTTTATTCATTTGGAGAGATGCCCTGGGACCCAGAGCTGATGCAGACCTGCTACCGCGAGGCTGCTCGGAGCCAGGAGCGCCTGGGGCAGCTGGCAGCACCGTTCGGCTTCTTTGGAACACAAAGCCTGGTGTTTGGGGCCCAGGATCTCACACAGCAGGTGAGGTGAGTGGGAGGCTGAGAGGCCAGGCAAGGACACCAGCCTCCACTGAGTAGGAGCCAAGCATGTGCTGGGGAGACCATGATGGCACAGGGAGGCTGCCCGCCCCTCACCAGGCTCTCAGTGTCATGCAGACGTGAGCCTGTGACCAGGCAGTGACTATACACGGTGGGCAGGGCTGTGGTGGAGACACACAAGGTGCTATGGGAGCCCCGAGAGGCCCCCTGATCCATCTGCAGGGCAGGTAGGACTTCCAGAGGAGAACTGCCAACCTGGGGCAGAAGTGGGGAGAATGGGGATGGGGCATGTCTTGGTAGAGGGAACAATGTGGATAAGCTTTGAGAGGTGAAAGTGTACAAACTGAACTAGACACCCTGACACCATCCTCCAGAAGGGGGGTGCTTTCTGCCAGTTTGCGTCTAGGCCCCCACTGATTAGATGATCCCCAGGTCCTGAGCGGATGGGGTGCTGTTTCTTGAGCAAGGAGAAGGTTGGGTGGAAGTGGCTGGTTGGGGCAGGCTGAGAGCTGGGAAGGGGTCAGCTGGACAGGCACAGGGCTGATAAGGCCAGAGCGTGGGTTCCTGGGGGTCATCCCCGTGCCTCCTTCCACAGCTCATGGCCAATGCCGTGGCCACCTTCCTGCAACTGGCAGACCAGGGTCTAACTACGGCCGTGGACTGCGCCCAGGCTGCCCAGCAGCTGGAGAAAGTCAGGGAGCGTGTGCTGAAGGTGAGGTCCTCTGGGAGGACTTGGCAGTGGGCCTGGTTGCTCAGATGGTCACTGGACCAGCCACGGTGTGTGTCGTGCAGAAGTTCCACTCGGACAGCGGCTCAGCACAGAGGAGGTTCCTCCGCGGGTGGCTGCTCTGTATCTTCTTGCCCTTTGTGTTGAACCAGCTACAACCCAGCTGCAAAATGGTGAGCTGATAGGGGCTGTACAAGCAGGTCCTACAGGATACCCAAGCATCTGTGGCTTTCTGTGAAATGGGCAGAATGCTCTCTCCGTCACAGAGCCACTGTGGTGATTACAGACGTTTGTTCCCTGAGCCCCGGGGCTGGGTTGGATGGCTCCTCTGGGCTCCACCAATGCCTTCTGCTGCTCCCTGCCAGTGCCTGCCATTTGAGAGGTGGGGTAGAGGCCTGTGCATCATACATCAGCAATGGCACAGGCTTCAGAGAAGGGAGGAGGCAGAGGCAGACTATGGGGGTTGCCAGCTTGTCAGTGAGAAGATGACACTCAAGAAGCAGCAAACTGCAGGCATGAGCCATGTCCAGAGAAGGGTGTTCCACGCAGAGGGCACAGCATCTGCAAAGGCCCTGGGATAGGATTGTGCCTAATATTTTGGAGGAACAGTGGCTGGAGCTCAGTGAATGGGGGAGTGGGAAGGAGATGAGAAGGGACCTCCCAGGGGCCTGACCACACAGGGCTTAGGGGGCACCAGGCAGGTTTGCTTCAGGTCCTAACAAGATCCTCTAGAGGAAGTGGCTTTGGGGGTCCCAGAGGAGATAACCACACTATTCCTGTTGAGGTGTGGTGTGCTTGGTTATGTAATTTAGTCCTTCCCTACTGAGGGGTTTAGACTTTATTGGGCAGACAATAGGGAGCCATGGAGGGTGTGTGAGCAGAGAACAGACTGGAAGTCAGGGAGGAGACTGAGGGCATGGTCTTAGGGGCAAATGATAGACTTAAGAAAGGACTCACATCCCTACAACAACCCAAGGGAATATGGGTGAACGTCTCCATTTTAAAGAGAAGGAAATTGAGGCCCAAGTCTCCCCAGCTAATCAGGGTCTGGCCTGGGGCTGAAGTGCACATCACAGCCCACCCCTCCAGATCAGCCCCTAACTCACCTGCATTTCAGGAACTGCCTGAATTTGAAGGGGATGTCCTTGCTGTGGGCAGCCCAGCCCTAACCACCGAGGGCATCTACAGGGACGTTGTCCAAGGGGTTCTGCTGCAGAGGATTGACAGAGGTGAGCCCCACTCTTCTATGGCTCGAAGAAGCCAGGTGACTCCTGGCTGTGTATATTGAGGCCTACCAGGGCCACCATCACCTCACTTCTTGTGAACACCAGCTCCTTGACTGGAGGTCAGGACTGGGACAGAGGGGACTGGGGCGGCCAAGCCGTGGAGGGGTAGTGACAGAAGCTCCCTGGAGGAGGAGCACTGGAGCTAGGCCATGAGGGGTGTGTAGGAGTTCTCAGAGAAAGAGGAAGGAAGCCAAATTTAAAAACTGGGGATAAGCATTTATATTTATTCATTCAACAACAACTCCCTGTTTTTCTCTGGGTTGGCACTGAGGCCCTGAGACTTCTTGGGTTTGGGGTAGGCTTCTCGGGATCATTTGGGGCTGGAAAGTGGCTCCAGGACCTCCCTTCTCCCTTCTGCCTTGTCTGTTTTCTCATGACCCAATGCCTGTGATTGCTGTGGTGTGTGCACTAACGGGCATGCGCACCATAAGGCAGCAGTTCAGGGAATGTCGCAGCATCTGTGTGGCTGCTGCAGTGCATGGAGAGAAATGGAGGAGAGGAGGCTGGAGGCTGTCAGGCAGATGTGCAGAGCCTTACCGAGCAGGCAGAGGAGCTTAGACTTTATTGGGGAGGCAATAAGGAGCCATAGAGTATATGTGAGCAGAGGACAACAGCGGCCAGACTGGAAGCCTGGGAGGAAGCTGAGGGTCCTGGGGGCAAAGAATGGACTCAAGAACAGGCGGCAGCCAAGCCGACAGAGTCCAGGCACAAGGATGAGGCAGGAGCCAGACGTTCCAGAGTTGTTGGCCTGAGTTGTCACTGAGTGCACAAGAGGGGCAACGATTTGGTGATGGTGTACAGGGAAAGGAGAGGAGTCCCAAACAGCCTGTATTGGAAGGATACAAGGAGGAAGAAGAGACCGACAGAACAGGTGGGGAGGTGGGAGAAACCCAGGGACTGTGGGGCTCTGGGAGCCGGGATGTAAGCATGAGGATGGTGTGTGGGCATACAAACAAAAAGAACTAATTTCCCATAGAAAAGGGGACTTTTTTTTTATTAAGGTATCATTGATATACACACTTATGAAGGTTTCACATGAAAAACATTGTGAAAAAAACAAAACAAAACAACAAAAGCATTGTGGTCACTACATTCACCCATATTATTGAGTCCCACCCCCCATACCCCATTGCAGTCACTGTCCATCAGTGCAGTAAGATGCCACAGTCACTACTTGCCTTCTCTGTGCTACACTGTCTTCCCCGTGACCCCACACACCATGTGTACCAATCATAATACCCCTGAATCCCCTTCTCCCTCCCTCCCCTCCTGCCTTCCCATGCCCCTCCCCTTTGGTAACCGTTAGTCCCTTCTTGGAGGCTGTGAGTCTGCTGCTGTTTTGTTCCTTCAGTTTTGCTTCGTTGTTATACTCCACAAATGAGGGAAATCATTTGGTACTTGTCTTCCTCCGCCTGGCTTATTTCACTGAGCATAATACTGTCTAGCTCCATCCGTGTTGTTGCAAATGGTAGGATTTGTTTCTTTCTTATGGCTGAGTAGTATTCCATTGTGTATATGTACCACATCTTCTTATCCATTCAACTACTGATGGACACTTAGGTTGCTTCCATATCCTGCCTATTGTAAATAGTGCTGCGATAAACATAGGGGTGCATATCTCTTTTTGAATCTGAGAAGTTATTTTCTTTGGGCAAATTCCTAGGAGTGGAATTCCCAGGTCAATGGTATTTCTATTTTTAGTTTTTTGAGGAACCTCCGTATTGCAGTGTAAGAGGGTTCTGAAAAGGGGACATTTTAAAAGGAAAAAGGCTATTCTCTGATTGGGAAAAGAAAATACAGAAACAGGTGACATCAGAGAGTTTTCCTTCCTAGACGTTTTACAGGTACTTTGGGGGTTCCACCACAATTGATTTGTGATGTCTGCTTGGAGTACTGTGTTGGAGGATTGAGTTCGTTGCTGGATCAGTGAAGGTGTGGAGATCAGCTAGCAATGTCTGCCAATGGGCACAGGTGTGGAGAGAGATTTCTGTGAGCCACTTATTTCAGTCCCTGCTTGAGATACTTCTTCCATTCTTTGACCTCTTGTGGTCTCTCTGGGAGAGTGTATGTAAGCCCTTTGATGCCAGGGCTTTCCCAGGTAGGTCCAGGGGTTTACCTCTTGTTTTAGAGTTGGAAAATGCCCTTGGTGCCAGTGACATACCCTGCACTCTGGATGGCTGCTCAGAGGCCCCATGGGACCAGGTGGGAGCAGGTGAGGACCTTCCAATTTCTTGGGCCATGACAGTGAATTGGCTGGGGGGGTGGAGGGCCTGCACAGGGTATATGGGATGGTCATGAGCATGGATTCCTGGATGGAATAGAATGTACTTTGTCTCCTGATCCAGCTGGGTTGGCTGAGCTTGTCGTGAATGAGGGCAGTAGGGACCTGCAGTTTGTCTGAGCCACAGAGGTATGTTCTGACGTGCACATGAATTTGTGTCCCATTTCATTTTGCCAGGACTCAGTAGGGCTTCACCCAGCAGCTACCAGTTCCCAACACTAGAAGTGGAGATTGTGTTGATAGATGATAGGAGCCTTGGGTTTACCACAAGCAGAGGCTTTGAAAGATGGGTTCAGGGAGACAGGGCTGGGACAGCCTGGCTTTCTACTGCAGAACCCTACAGTGAGCTACTTGTTGGAGTAGTCAGTGTAACAGCATGTTGTTTTTAGCTGTTAACTTTTGAAGTCATATGTTACACAGCAATAGCTAATGAATACACTCTCCAGCTGATTTGGGGCACCATTCTGTAGTCAATTGCTGTAGGTAAACTGATGAATATTCACACTCATTGGGCTGAATGAAGATTAGACAGTCCCTGAAAGACTTCAAGATGTTAGAATATTTGGGGATTTGCAATTAAGGATGAGGGGTTGTGGATGGACACTTAACCAGAATCTAACCAATGATGGATGTTTTGCTTCTAGTCCCTTGAGCTATCAGCTAAATGCAACAGGGAATGACTTTGTGTAGACTTTCCAGGCAAGTTTACATCTCTGTGGATAAATCCCTCAACGTGAAATCCCAGGGTTTAGAGCATGTGTTTGTCATGTCAGCTGTGGAGTCCAGAGCGCTCTCCACCAGGGCAGTCCCATCTGGGGCCCCTCACTGTGGGGGGGGGGCCCATTTCCCCACAGACTGAACAAACTGTCAGCTGACTTGGGGTTTCTCAGACATTCTGGGTGAAAAAATTTCATCTTGCTCTCATTTTAAGGAGCATGTCTTATTGAAGATGAGGTTGAGCATCTTTTCTTGAGTCTAAGAACTGTTTTTAGCTGCTTCTCCCCATTCCTCTCCTTGGCCCTTTTATCTTCTGGGTGCTTATAAGTTTCTGTTAAGTTTTTGTTGCTGAGCTTCCATTTATTGAGTACTTATTATGTGCTAGGCATTTAATGTGTCTGATGTTTTAACATCCTTATGATACTTTCCATTTTGCAGATGAGGAAACTGAGGCTCAGAAAGGGACTTGCCCCAGGCATCCAGGCTCCAGCACCCAGGTCTAGCCACTCTTCCTGCTGCCTCCTCCAGACACATTCTGGAGCTGATTCTTTCATTCTGGAGCTGATGGGTGTGTGCATCCTCCTTCCCATTGGATAAAGTCTACTAGTAGAATTTCTGAGTCAAAGCATATGCATCATTTAAAGGCTTTTAGAATCCTTTGTACACTCCTACCAGCAGCATTTGTACATTTTCTCCATATCCTTAGGAATTTTCATAAGAGAACAAAATGTCAATTTGAGAGAGACACACACATTTCATTGTCGTATTTTGAATTTCTTTGATGACAAATTGAACCTAAAAATATGTTCATTATCTATTTTCATGGTTGTGGGTTTGTTTGCTTGTTTTTAAGTGAAGTGCCTGTTCATGGCTTTTCACTTGCTTTTCAGGAGATTTTACATTTTTCTTATTGCTCTCTAATAATTCTTTGTTTATTAAGGGTATTAATGCTTTGCTTACAAGTTACAGATACCTCAGCTTGCTCAGGACCTTCTGGGTTTGTTTACTCACTCCAAATCTCAGTTTGGTATCAAGTTTCCCAGCTAAGAGAGCTTTTACTGACTTCCTTCTGCTTGCCAGAGAAGTCATCTGTCCACTTGAGGTTGGCAGCTTCTCCAGGTCATAAGCCTTCCAGCTGCTTCCGGAGCAGGTTCCGGAGGGATTTCCCAAGTGGTGTTCTCAGTTCAGCTTTCCGGGGCGGGGGGAGGGGATACACATGCTCCATGGAGATGGTTTCCTCCCACTCTGCCCTGAAGTTTTCAGCCTCCCCCAAGAGAATGAGATTTGCCTCATTTTTCTTGACTTCGCCCTCCAACTCCACCTTACGAGACACATTTGTGCTTCACAGCCTTGTCCAGCTGTCTTTTTATCCAGGATGTAGATGTTAATTCTGGAAAAATTGGAGCAAAAAGAATTCGTCATCCTGCCCCCTTTGGGAAAACCACTGTTTGCCTTTGAGTCTAAATCCGTCCAGTTTTTCTCTCAGTGTATCAGAGATGAGGCAGTGTCTTATCACTCTGTCTTTCTTATTTAATATGAAAGATCTTTCTTTGCCAGGTCTATAGAGTGTAAAGTTGCTTTTACCATCTTATTATGGAAAGTTCCAGGCATACCCCAAAAGCAGAGACCTCTGCGTGTCCCTACCTGGATTCATCAGTGGCCAAGTGTAACCAGTAAAGATTAGGGTATGTTTCCAGAATATTCAGGCGAACACTGAACTTGTGCAGATAATTATTGTAGAAAAAAAATCCGAGAACAGAAGCAAAAGTGAGAAATGAGACTAAGGAAGGGGAAGGGCAGGGAGAAGAGGAGTGTATCATATGACCCAGCTAGCCATGCTGGGAGATTGTGGTTAAGCCCAGCACCCCATCTTAACTTTGCTAAGCTTCCGGCCCAACTATCCTGTGAGCACAATGAGGACACACTACCTGTAACCTGAATTTTACCTAACAGTATTGAACTTTCACCCACACATTAGTAATATACAGAGGTGAGCGTCATTCTTAAAACTTATTTTTAAGAACGACACAAAAACAATTAGAAAGTACATTAGAGTATTGGAAAGCAATGCCTTGGTAGCATTTCTATGGAAACGCCCACGTTGCCTGTAGGCCAGGAGCTCAGCACTTCGAGTATCATCTGGACCTTCTGGGTTTGTTTACTCACTCCAAATCTCAGTTTGGTATCAAGTTTCCCAGCTAAGAGAGCTTTTACTGACTTCCTTCTGCTTGCCAGAGAAGTCATCTGTCCACTTGAGGTTGGCAGCTTCTCCAGGTCATAAGCCTTCCAGCTGCTTCCGGAGCAGGTTCCAGAGGGATTTCCCAAGTGGTGTTCTCAGTTCAGCTTTCCGGGGCGGGGGGAGGGGATACACATGCTCCATGGAGATGGTTTCCTCCCACTCTGCCCTGAAGTTTTCAGCCTCCCCCAAGAGAATGAGATTTGCCTCATTTTTCTTGACTTCGCCCTCCAACTCCACCTTACGAGACACATTTGTGCTTCACAGCCTTGTCCAGCTGTCTTTTTATCCAGGATGTAGATGTTAATTCTGGAAAAATTGGAGCAAAAAGAATTCGTCATCCTGCCCCCTTTGGGAAAACCACTGTTTGCCTTGGAGTCTAAATCCGTCCAGTTTTTCTCTCAGTGTATCAGAGATGAGGCAGTGTCTTATCACTCTGTCTTTCTTATTTAATATGAAAGATCTTTCTTTGCCAGGTCTATAGAGTGTAAAGTTGCTTTTACCATCTTATTATGGAAAGTTCCAGGCATACCCCAAAAGCAGAGACCTCTGCGTGTCCCTACCTGGATTCATCAGTGGCCAAGTGTAACCAGTAAAGATTAGGGTATGTTTCCAGAATATTCAGGCGAACACTGAACTTGTGCAGATAATTATTGTAGAAAAAAAATCCGAGAACAGAAGCAAAAGTGAGAAATGAGACTAAGGAAGGGGAAGGGCAGGGAGAAGAGGAGTGTATCATATGACCCAGCTAGCCATGCTGGGAGATTGTGGTTAAGCCCAGCACCCCATCTTAACTTTGCTAAGCTTCCGGCCCAACTATCCTGTGAGCACAATGAGGACACACTACCTGTAACCTGAATTTTACCTAACAGTATTGAACTTTCACCCACACATTAGTAATATACAGAGGTGAGCGTCATTCTTAAAACTTATTTTTAAGAACGACACAAAAACAATTAGAAAGTACATTAGAGTATTGGAAAGCAATGCCTTGGTAGCATTTCTATGGAAACGCCCACGTTGCCTGTAGGCCAGGAGCTCAGCACTTCGAGTATCATCTGGCTCCATCTTCACCGACCCTGCAGGGTCGGTAAGACCCCATTTCACAGATGGACCAAAAGGCTCATTCAGCGAGCCCACGGTGGGGGCTGGATCTGCAGCCAGGTCTGGAGACGCGAGGGCCCACGCGTTTCATACCCAACAATCCTCGAGAACATCCCAGTGCGGCCGGGACCCAGGATCGTTAAAACCCAAGTTGCAGCCGAGGAAACTGGGGCTTAGATCTTTCAGGTGCCAAAGCAGGTCCTGACTAGCCAGGTCGGCATGGTGGCACCTGCTTGGGTATAATACAGATGTTAAGTTGGACGGCGCATCAGGTGGAGGTCCAGGTGAGGGCGTGCGCCCTAAAAAGGCTGTGCAGGTTCCGAGCTCGAGGGGTTCGGAGAGCTCTGTGCCTTTAAGGCGGAACTGGGGCGGGGCATACGGGGTGGGGCTTCAGACTGATGTCACTCCGGGCCAGCGGAGGGCGTGCAGCTCTGGGTGTCTTTAAGGCTTCCTGGAGGCGGGACCTGGGAGGCGGGCCGTGACGACTGATTCCCGCCAGGCGCTCTCCTCCCCTTTAAGGCGCGCGGCAGGGGCAGGGCTCCTACGGCACCTTTAAGGTGCGGTCCTCCTCCGCCGGCAGAAAAGCGGCTTAAAGGTGACGCGTGGCGTGATGGCCGCGGCCTCACGCGCGTGCCGGCGGCGGGGGCAGCTGCTCCCGGCGCTGCTGCTGCTGCTGCTACTGGCACTGCCGCCTCCGGGGGGCCCCCCGGGCGCCGCCGCCTACTTCCCCGAGGAGCGCTGGAGTCCGGAGTCGCCGCTGCAGGCGCCGCGCGTGCTCATCGCGCTGCTGGCGCGCAACGCTGGCCACGCGCTGCCCGTCACGCTAGGCGCGCTCGAGCGGCTGCGGCACCCGAGGGAGCGCACGGCGCTGTGGTGAGCGCGGCCGCCGCTGGCCCCGTATCTGGCCTGCCGCCGCCTTCCGGGCGGGTCCGCGCCGCGCCCTGTCCGTTGCCCTTCCCCCGGCCTGGACTGGCCAGACCCACGCGTGCGCCCTGCCTGCTGTTCCCCGTCTCTTCTCCGCCCCGTTAGGACAGGCCAGACCCCGTTGTGGTGGCTCAGGCCACTGTCCTGCCTTCTGGCCACCTGTTAGGGTAGATCCGGGACTTGGCGTGTCCAGTCCAGGGTCGGGGTGCCCTGCTTGGATCTAACACCCTAACGCCTTCGGAGCATACACAGTTCCAAAGAAGGGGAGCCTGGAGCCCCCCACGGGGGCGTTGCGATGGCCCACATTGCACTTCCTCTAACTGAAAGTTTTTTAGATTCTGTTACTGCATTGGTGCTGAGCATAACCTGAATCAGACTCCTGCCCTCTGTCCACATGGGTGGGCCATGGGACCGGATGGCCAAGGTGTGGGTGGGGATCCTTCCTGGCAGGAGAACGGGGCAGAGACACGAAGTCTGATTGAAGTGACTCCCTGCCTTCTGCCTCGGTTTCCTGCCTCAACTAGAAAATGGAGGTATTAATATAACTCCAGGCGGTTTGTCTCTGAAGATTAGCCACTTAACGGGTATGAGTACATTGTGTCTGGCATCATGGGCTTGGCGCTCAGTGACCAAAATTATGGATTATTGTCCTCATTATTTACTGTCATCTCTGACATCCTTTTTATCAACTTACTCACAGTTCATTTGGGGGATAGCTGTTATCTTCATTGTCAGACTAGATTCCTAAATGACCTTCTTCTCTACACCCCAGGTTTCCCAGCCTGGATAATTCAAGCACCCTGTTAGTGCTTAAGAAATGTTTGTTAAACGAATTAGTGACCATAGCCCGCTGTAAGGTGGTATTGTTCATTGGAGAGAATCAAGGAAAGATACATATATCTTGCTAAATTGCACATATTTAGTATTGAACATGGTTATAAGATCCTTGATGCTCAATTGTACTAAGAGGGTCTAATGTCTTTGTCCAAAATTAATTGTTTAATCCCCTGTGCAGCCCAGTGAAGTGGGTCCTGTCTTCACCCCTGTGTTACAGATGAGGAAACTGAGGCACAGAGGGGGAATCCTCTTGCCCAGGGTTATGTAGCTGGGTTGTGGAGCCTGTATTGCCTTGCTGCTCTCCTGTCCTGCCTCAGTGTCCCCTGCCTCACTGACTCTTCTGCTCTGCTCACAGGGTGGCCACAGACCACAACTCAGACAACACGTCGGCCATGCTGCGGGAGTGGCTGGTGGCTGTGAAGAGTTTGTACCACTCCGTGGAGTGGCGGCCAGCTGAAGAGCCCAGGTGAGCTCCACGCTCTGCCCTGAGTCATCCCAGGTGGCTCCCTGTCCACACG